TGTGGTAAAAAAAAAATTTTTTCATACTTTTGGGCGTCTTGCACGGATTAATTTTATTTCCATTATTTCTTATGGGGAAAATTCATTCGCATAACGATTATTTCGCATAACAATTATCCCTCTTGCACGGATTAAAATCGTTAACCGGGGGTCCACTGTAAATCATAGTACACTACAGAATGTAAAGAAATGTTAAACTGTTTATATAAAGTGTATATGTACTTGGAGCAGAGATGGTGGGGGATGTTGAGGGTGGGGGATTTTGAGGGTGAGGGATTTTGAGGGTGAGGGGAGGTTGAGGCTGTGGCATATGATGTCAGTGGCCCTGTAAATCTCCAACAACAACAGTTTTGTTTAATCACTGAACATACCTGATACAGCTTTAGTATCTACATATCGTAGATGTACTAAGCTGATACTGCCTGGCTAAGTCCATGGAAAGCATCGTCTTTTTCTTCTCAGCACTGTCCTTTGCACTTACTTTCTTAGGATCCATGATTAGAAAAATGAAAGTTGGCCAAATGACTGTAAAAAAAATGCAAGCAAGCGCGAGAGAACTGCTCCTACAGCGATGTAAACGTGTGTACTGCCTACCGAATGTTTTGGCATCAGCTGTGCCAACTAACGGCAGCACTCAGAATTATTATTACATGCATATTATGTATTATTTTTATTATCATTATTATTATTATTATTATTATTTAGGGAACTGAAGCTCAATCGTTATTATAATAATAATTATAATCATTATTAATTTAGGTAACTGGAACACAGATCCAATTCCTTAGATCAAGAGCCCCTCACCAGTGTCAAGCAACCTTGACGCTGGTGAGGTAATAATAATAATAATACGTAGTAATAATAATAATAATTACTATTTTAATAATAATGAACGCCGCCAACTCAGTGCACTGTTTACCTCGCTGTGAGAGCAGTTCTCTCATGCTTTGCTTACATTTTTGACAGTCATTTGGCCAAATTCTGTTTTTCTAAGCATGGGTCCTAAGAAAGTAAGTGTAAAGGACAATGCTGAGAAGAAAAAGAGAATGATTTCCATGGAATTAAAGCATGAAATTATAAACAAGTGAGATGTCCAGGTTTTGCATTTGTGGGGAAGCAGGGGGAGATGGCTCATAACTCAAATGTTGGCTCTTAACTCAGAGCAAAAAACTGACCCAGGGACGGCTCGTATCTTAAAAAACTTGTACTTTGGGACACTCTTAAGATCCCACTGTATTTGGGAGTTGACATGTCAGTGGATGGGTTTATGAAGGATGAGGTTAATCATAGAATTGATGAAGGAAAAAAGGTGAGTGGTGCATTGAGGTATTTGTGGAGACAAAATGTTATCCATGGAGGCAAAGAAGGGAATGTATGAAAGTATAGTGGTACCAACACACTTACATGGGTGTGAAGCTTGGGTTGTAAATGCTGCAGCGAGGAGGCAGCTGGAGGCAGTGGAGATGTCCTGTCTAAGGGCAATGTGTGGTGTAAATATTATGCAGAGAATTCAGAGTGTGGAAATGAGGAGAAGGTGTGGAGTTAATAAAAATATTAGTCAGAAGGCTGAAGAGGGGTTGTTGTGGTGGTTTGGTTATTTAGAGAATGGATCGAAGTAGAATGACTTGGAGAGCGTATAAATCTGTAGGGGAAGGAAGGCGAGGTAGGGATCGTCCTCGAAAAGGTTGGAGGGAGGGGGTAAAGGAGGTTTTGTGGGCGAGCGGCTTGGACTTCCATCAAGTGTGCATGAGCGCGTTGGATAGGAGTGAGTGGAGACGAATTGTATTTGGGACCTCACGAGCTGTTGGACTGTGAGCAGGGTAATATGTAGTGAAGGGATTCAGTGAAACCAGTGATTTTTATACAGCCGGACATGAGTAATGGAAATGGGAAATACAATGCCTGCACCTTAAAGGAGGGGTTTGGGATATTGGCAGTTTCGAGTGATATGTTATAAATCTTATTATACATGTTTTCAAACTGTTGTATCTGGGTGCCTCTGCAAAGACAGTGATTATGTATGAGTGAGGTAAAAGTGTTGAATGATGAAAGTATTTTCTTTTTGGGGATTTTCTTTTTTGGGTCACCCTGCCTCGGTGGGAGACAGCCAACTTGTTGAAAAAAAAAAATGATGCACTGGAGAATGTAACACTAACATTTATTTATTATGATCTATGCCTGAAGGACTGATAATATTAATGTTTATTGTAAGAGAAGCTAACGCCACATGCTTTCACTCAAACCAAAGCTAAAGCAAGCAGAAGAAAATGAAATGCCTCTACAAGCTATTACTGCAATGTTGTTAATGTAACAGGGACAGCAGCTATCAGACATGATCAAATATCTTCCCTCATTTTATTAGCCAAATAAATACTACTTTGCCTTACCTAGCAAGGTGTTAGTGAATCTGGATAGATTCAACTCCAATAAAACCTCACTTTATCAAGCACCACCATTATTAACCCCTTGACTGTCGCAACCCCCAATCCTGAAGTGTCTCCTGGTGTCGAAAATTTCAAAAAAAAAAAAATTATTTTTTCTGGAGAAATGATAGAGAATCTTTTCCCGATTGTAATGACACCAAAAACATGAAATTTGATGGAAAACTGACGGAATTATACTCTTGCGAAGTTAGCGACCTAGGCGATATTTACAAATCGACGATTTCGCGTATTTTGAGCCCTATTTTCGGCTAATTCCATTGTTCCAGTTGACCAAACTCATAGCTATTTCTTTAGAACTCCATTTTTTCTATCGATTGAGTACAAGAAACTGCACATTTACCGATTTCAACTACCCAATAACGTGGTCAGAAATTTGCAATTTGGCCAATTTCACGAAAATTAAAAAATATGACAATTTCAAAATAAGGTCCAGAATGAACAATGCAGACACTCCTGGCTCTAAAATAACATTTTCTTTGTTCATCAGTCACGTCTCCAAACCCCTCTGATATTACTCTTGCTTTCTATTTTGAATTTTTATTCAAACAAAATATAGAAGATTTACTGTTATGCAGACTACTGCAATACTGTAATAATTGTATAAATAACATCAACCCATTCATAACTGCATATTAGAATGGCTAGTTGGACATTTATTGGACAATATCATTTGTTTACTTTTGAACATCGGCAAAAATCAAACATTTCCCATACTTTGAGCTCCATTTCCAGGTTCTTTTTATAGTAAAATCAATCAAAATCACCTCTATTCCTATAATATGTTTTCCATTCTATCAAATGAGACCAAGAAAACGAGAATACAACCATAAATACTATACGAAAATAGACCACAAAGTCAGCATTTTAATTAAAAAAAATGGTCGGAGTTTTTTTTTTCTCATTATGCCCTGCATGCTCCAGGATTTTTTTTATATGGTGCACACTGACCACACAAACCCATTCTCTTACATGTGGGCCTGCCAGCTTTCTCCTGCTTGATTTGAAGCCGCTAGAATTTATGAGTATATATACGTCAAACACGGTACCTAATAAGACGTATATATACGACCTCGACAGTCAAAGGGTTAACAACTGAAGAAATAAAGCTAGAGTATGAACATCACTATTAAATTCAGGCACAGAAATATGTACTTATTATGTCATTAGGATAATGACACTAATAAATTTTCCTACTGAAATTCCAATTCTTCATAATATAAATGCACTGAATATTCTCTTCAAGTTTGAGCGAATGGAGACAAATGGTTTTTTGGGACTTTATGAGCTGGTGGAATGTAAGCTGGGTAATATTTTGTGAAGGGATTCAGGAAAAGCAGTTAGCCGGACTGAAGTCCTGGAGAAGGAAAGTACAGTGCCTGAACTCTAAAGAGGGGTTTGGGATATTTGCTGTTTAGGGTGACATCTAAACTGTCATATATATACACCTCTGGAAAGACAGTAATAGCATGAATGATGGTGAAGAACTTTCGTTTTGAGGTCACCTTGTGATGTGTTTTAAAAATACAAAAAAAAAAAATTAACAACAGCTATCTCCCACCAAGAAATTTTATATAAATTAAGCCTTCAAAAGTTATAGAGATTTAGAAAAACACTAATTCGGTACATACAATATTGTCTAGTGGACATGACTTGCTCTAGCTTAGCAAGTATGGGAGGCTAGAGAAAGGGGAGATACCACAGTTTGTTACTGTGGTTTACCATGGCCCAAAAATAACCCTTAATTTTGCTTAATAATTGCCTCAAACTGCAAAAGTAGTGATGGTGAAAGTTCTTCAAAGCCTAAGAGAAGCCGTGAAGTGCTTCTCATCAGTGAAAAAGTAATAATTCTCCACTTATTGTGTGTAATTTATCAATTAAACTTTATAAAAGGTATGTATGAAAATGAAAAATGACATAAATTGGATTTACAGTTTGAATATCTACAGCAGGTCCTTGGAACCTATCCCCCGAAGATATGGGGATCCTACAGTACTGCAGAAATATTTCCTTGATTAACTACATTAGTAATCACTGAGAATACAACAGTATCACAAAACCTTAACATATATATTTTATGGTGTGATTCAATGGGTCATTTGAGCTCTTACCCACGCACATTATACACTAGGTAGTGAATAATGGTGAATGTTTCTTTTTTTTTTAGGGGGGGGGTGTCACCCTGCCTTGGTAAACAGCCAGCTGAAAGTATTTTTTTTTTTTTTAACAAGTCAGCCATTTCTCACTGAAGCAGGGTGACCAAAAAAAGAAAAACCTTCACACATAATCACTGTCTATGCAGAGGCGCCCAGATACGACAGTTCAGATGTCACTTCAAACTGCCAATATTTTATGGGAGATTGAAACTTACTGCTGAATATCACAAATAAAATAATGAACAACACAAATGTAAGATCTGAAAATTAAATATAAAAATTTACTATGAATCTGACAAGATGAACATAACCAATTAAAAGCTCTACTCTGCAGGCAAATAAAATGTCTATGGATAAATGTCAGCAAACATAAGTCATAATAAATTTAAGTAATTTAACTAACCAGAGTGATGATAAGCAATTCCATAAGGCAATGTTTTACGCAATACTGAGCATACTGATCCGCCACCTTCTTCCAGCAGAGCTTGATACAAAGATACTTTCCTCTTAAACTTTACCTAAAAATTGAAGAAAAGCCATTTAACAGTTTGATGGTGTTAAAGCTGTCTAGGAATTCATCACTAGTGTTCTATCCCTTCATATCTTAGCAAAATCCTTTATTCACTCCTTCCTTTCCTTGAGTGGACTGACATGGACCATTAGGGAAATAGTGAACCTCATTTTCTCCAGTTTTAGTTGCTTTTTTATTTCTGTGTGTGTGTTATATGTACTATTTTTCATGAAGTGAGATATTCTTTTTATTAAAACCATTGGACTAGACAACAAAAATAAAATAGGTAAGAACTAGAGAGAGAAAAAAAAAAAAAAACTTACAACTGTGGTACAAGTTATGGCACTAGAATGAGAGCATCAGTGGGCTAGTGGTGTCGCTTCCTTCCTTTGGTAATATGCTGTGGCCTTACTTTCACCTCTGTCATTCATCAGTAACTTTTATGCTCGGCTTAACCCTTTCAGGGTCCATGCCATATGTTGAGGGTCCAAACCGTAGATCCATGTCACGAGCTCAGCTCAACTCTGATAAGCTGTGAGCGATAAATTTGGGCCTAGATATGAGAGAATACATCTGTGTGCACCACATCAAATAAATCCTGCAGCACACAGTGCATATGAGAAAAAAAAACCATACCCCCGGCCGGGATTGAACCCGCGGTCATAGAGTCTCAAAACTCCAGCCCGTCGCGTTAGCCACTAGACCAGCTAGCTGGTCTAGTGGCTAACGCGACGGGCTGGAGTTTTGAGACTCTATGACCGCGGGTTCAATCCCGGCCGGGGGTATGGTTTATTTGCAATCGTGTCATTACGATTTCTTAAGTCATATGAGAAAAAACCGAGACCGAAATTTTCGATTGAAACAGACTCTGCAGTGCTTTTTCTTATGTTTTTTATAGTTGTATTTGCAATTTCTTGGTCTCTTCTGATAGAATGTAAGATACATTACAGAAATAGAGATTATTTTTATTGGTTTTAGTACTGGAAATGGCTTGAAACTGAGCTCAAAGGAAATGTTAAATTTTTGTCAATGTTCAAGAATAAACAAATGACCTCACATGCCTAATACACGCCAGCTGGTGGGTCTAATATATGTTCACAAATGTGGTGATATTATTTATACAATTATTACAATATTGCATAACAGTAAATCTTCTATTTTTTGGTTTGAATAAAAATTCATTATGTGAATCAAAAATCAAAATGGAATTCATTTGTAAAGCCTGAAAACATAACTGATGAACAGAGGAAATGTTAGTTTAGTGCCAGGAATGCCTACATTGTTTATTCTGGACCCTATTTTGAAACTGGAATATTTTGAACTTTGCATTAAATTGGCCAAATTACCAATTTCCGTTCACTATTTTGTAGTTGAAATAGTTGACTTGGTGATTTCTTGTGCTCAATCGATAGAATACAAGTAATATTAGTGAAATAGCTAAGAATTTGGTCGACTGGAATAATGTAATTGCCCTAAAATGGGAGTCAAAGTAGGGAAAATCGCCGATGCGTAAATATCGCTGACACATCAAAATTCGCGAGAGCATAATTTCGTTAATTTTCCATCAAGTTTCGTAATTTTTGTTTTATTACCTTCAGAAAAAGAGATTCTCTACCATTTCATAAGAAAAAATAGCAAAATCATTTTTTGAAAATTCTTCGACACTGGTGCACACCGAAATTTGGCCTCTGGACCCTGAAAGGCGGCTTACACACTGGCATACGTGTGCGCAAAAACAAACAAGGCCATTGAAAGCTGTTCCAAAATTTATCAAAACTTATCTAAAGTACATGAAGCTACTAGGTCCTCACACCTATGTAATGCTAGCCATCTTTCTTAAATGGTTTTTAAATATTAACCCTTTCAGGGTCCAAGGCCAAAATCTGAAGTGGTGCCCCAGTGTCCAAGAATTTTCAAAAAAAAAAAATTATTATTTTTTCTTATGAAATGGTAGAGAATCTTTTTGTGAATGTAATAAAAGAAAAAGTACGAAATTTGATGGAAAATTGACGAAATTATGCTCTCGTGAATTTTGATGTGCCAGCGATATTTACGAATCGGCGATTTTGCCGACTTTGACTCCCATTTTAGGCCAATTACATTATACCAGTCGACCAAATTCTTAGCTATTTCACTAGTATTACTTCTATTCTATCGATTGAGCACAAGAAATCGCCAAGTCAACTGTTTCAACTACAAAATAAAGTGACCGGAAATTGGTAATTTGGCCAATTTAACACAAAGTTCAAAATATTCCAATTTCAAAATAGGGTCCAGAATAAACAATGTAGGCATTCCTGGCACTAAACTAACATTTCCTCTGTTCATTAGTTATGTTTGGAGGCTTTACAAATAAATTCCATTTTGATTTTTTATTCACATAATGAATTTTTATTCGCACCAAAAAATAGAAGATTTACTGTTATGCAATATTGTAATAATTGTATAAATATCATCACCACATTTGTGAATGTATATTAGACCCACCAGCTGGCATGTATTAGACGTGCGAGGTCGTTTGTTTACTCTTGAACATCGGCAAAAAATTAACATTTCCGCCACTTTGAGCTCAGTTTCAAGCCATTTCCAGTGCTAACACCCATCAAAATTATCTCTATTTCTGTAATATGTCTTCCATTCTATCAAATGAGACCAAGAAATCACAAATACAACTATAAAAAACATACGAAAAAACACTGCAAAGTCGCTGTTTTAATCGAAAATCATGGTCCCAGTTTTTTTTCTCTCATTATACACCGTGTGCTGCAGGATTTGTTTTATGTGGTGCACACATACCACATAGATGTATTCTCTCGTATCTAGGCCCAAATTTACCACTCACAGTTTATCAGAGTGAGCTGAGCTCATGACGTAGATCTACGGTTTGGACCCTGAACGTAAAGCCGTAGATCTACGGGACGGACCCTGAAAGGGTTAAATTCTCACAAAATTTTTAAATACGAAAAACTTAATATACAAAGTATTTAAAGGGCCATCCATCTCAAGGCATTCCTAGCTTTGCAAGTTACTTGCTGGTTTTGCCAATATTTAATTATATATAACACAAAAGAACAAAAAATCCTGAATGAAATATAACAAAAATAATTACATGTGCAAAATCAGGTCACTCTACCTCAGTGAGAGATGGCTGGTAAGCTTAAAAAAGCTCCATACTGAACTTAAAAGGAAAGAGGCAACATGACAATGCACTCAACAGCTTGGCCTGATACCTGGAATGCAATACTGTGTTAAAAAAAAAGTTTAAGGGAATTCTTACAAGAATCCCTGCTATGCCATGGTTGACAGAATCATGAGTAAGAAGTTCAGGATTTGTGCCTTTTTTTCCCACCACTAGGTATTCTAGGAGAGAAATGAAAATTTAAAGCTCACCTTAGGGACAGTTACTCATTTTGTGTCTATGCTGAAGAAAGACCTCTGAGGATCACTGGCAATTATATCTTTATACCTCAACAGCCATCTACCATTAAGGAGGTGTGCAGTGAAAATCTTTCAACATTTTCACTAATGACTGATCCTTGTTACATGCATTAATTTTATAAAAAAAAATTTGATGCAAGTGTGTCGTGTTCATGTTTTCTTGATCCATATCAATCATGAAAAGTCAACTTTTTATATGATGCCCATTTTCTATTTGCTGTTCCTTTCAAGTTTCGAGAATTTTCCTACTCACATAGCCTAGCCCTGGGCCAGTCTTGTCTGGTGATTACTTCTACACAAAATCTGTTTTCTTTTTAAATATCCTTTATTACGTATGTCAGTATTATCCAAATTAGAGGTATATTTAAAATGATGGCCAAAATGCTATCAATAAGAAAAATCTCAGTTTGGACATGCAAAATTTTGTATTATTCATGACCAAGGTTCACGATCCCTCCAGAAACTTGACCTGTGTTTGTATGGGTAACCCCCATTACCCATACAAACATAAGTACTCTACATGATGTACCTGATTTCAAGGTTAATAATGTGGAATCAAAGCAATCAGAAAAAAAAAATTAAAATCCTTACTCGAGTCAGGTCTCCTGGCAGTACCTTGCAAAGTAATTCAGCCAGGGTTTCACAGTTACGTCGTGTAGGGCAGAAGACTAGGCAGGAGTAATCAGGTATCACCTCTCCAACTAAGCCAGCAATCATGTCAGCATCAATTCGCTTCTGCTCATTGCTGTACTGGGTGAAGCAAAACATGTTTTTACCTATTATACTGTTAAAATAAAGATACCATCCAAGAATTAAGTACAGTGGACCCCCGGCTTACAATATTATTTCATTTCAGAAGTATGTTCAGGTGCCATTACTTAACGAATTTGTTCCCATAAGGAATATTGTGAATTAGATTAGTCCATTTCAGACCCCCAAACATACACGTACAAACGCACTTACATAAATACACTTACATAATTGGTTGCATTGGGAGCTGATCGTAAACTGGGGGTCCACTATATTAATATTTCAAATCACAGGTACATCCTACAAGCAATGCACATATAAAAATGTTATCAATCGTTATTGCTTTATGCAATTAACTTAACCCATTCAGTGTCTCATGTACATCTACATTATTCAGGCCAGTGTCACTTTTGTAGATCTGTCTTAATCAATAGCGCCCTCAAATATGCTATGATCGGTAAATTTTGGCTGAGGCATGAGGCAATAGGTCTAAGCAGTGGGGGTGTAGTATGAAAAAATTCATGCCCTTTACTGTGCATGATGGAAACAGCTAATCTCTGACAATGTATCTGGGTTAAAATAGCTACTTTGAGTCATTTTCTAGGATGGTTTTTTTTTTTTTTTTTTTTTGGGGGGGGGGCATATTTCTCAGTCGACTGACAGATAAAGACTTGCTAGTGAAATGGAAATGATTTTGGTCAGTTTCAGTTCAGAAGTGGCCTGAAAGACCTCATAGTAACATATATACAGTGGACCCCGGTTAACGATATTTTTTCACACCATAAGTATGTTCAGGTGCCAGTACTGACCGAATTTATTCCCATAAGGAATATTGTGAAGTAGATTAGTCCATTTCAGACCCCCAAACATACACGTACAAACGCACTTACATAAATACACTTACATAATTGGTCGCATTCGGAGGTAATCGTTATGCGGGGGTCCACTGTATTTGACAACTGACAATTTTCCTGAGAAAGGGTGGAGGCCCCCCAATCCCCCAGTGTGTTTTATGGGATTTTAGTAGGTCCGCTTCAATTACTTGGACAGCCTATACCACGACCAATTATTCTTGGTAATGTTTTATTACCCGAAAAGTAGGGTAAAACTTTAGATTTTGTGTGGCTTAAAAGTGGAGGATAAGTGTTGTATAGGAGAGGCCTGAAACTGTGATTAGCACAGGAAAAATTGGTTTAATGGCTGAAATACCTACAGTGGACTAGTTGAATGACCAGATCTTTGTTCTCAATCAAAAGAGTTTATGAATGGAATTGGCCTAAAATTGGCCTCAATGTGGGTAAAATTGTAGCTACAATTGCTCCCCAACTTCCAACTTCATGTCTGCATAATTCCTTAAGCTTTTCATCAATACCTTCAGAAAAAACACCCTAAAAACATCCAGCAAAGTTCCTATTTTAAACAAAATACAAGGTTTCATTTAAAATCCTGGCCCACTGTGTGGAGTAAGATTTTTTTTTTTTGTACTGTGATACACCCACTGCACAGACCCATTCCCAGATGTCAAGGCCAAAATTTCCTGATCACAGCTTAACACATTAACACAGTTAATGTGTTAAAATTATTGTTCTAAAGTCTCCATGGGGAAGTGGAAAAGAATTCTTCCTCCGTAAGCCATGCGTGTCATAAGAGGCAACTTAAATGCCAGGAGCATGGGGCTAGAACTCCTTCTCGTGGACAAATTACTAAGTTTAAAAAGAAAAACTTCAGTTTTTCTTTTTAGGTCACCCTGCCTCAATGGGATACAGCCATCCGTTGGCTTACCTAAGATGGTGTGGAGGATCTCTAGAATATAAAAAATGTTTGGGAAGTCAGCTGGAGTCATGGAAGAGCCTCACTGAAGATACATAATTTACCTCCACTACAACACATTCACTCCTTATAATCAAGGTATTTATCAAAATTAAAAACACAGCTAGAGGAGATGCATGATGCTAAAAACATGGACATGAATAACACTGGTCAACAGCCAAAATGCTTCTGGGATCAGAGTAGCAATTTCCAACTACTTTTAGGTCACTGATAGCACTAACAAAATTTCACTTTTGTCATGTTCCTAGGAAATAAGCATCATTTCCTAATTCTTTATAGCTAAACAAACCCTTGTGGTTTAGTGCTTCTTTTTTATTATAATATAACTAAAAATTTAAAAAAGCAATTTTGATCCCAGAACTTTGCTTTTGTTGTCAGAACACTTCTGGAACACTTTCAAAAAATATAAAAACAGGGGCTCACAAACCAGCATTCAGTTCAGCTCTGGCTACCTGAGAAGACATCAGAAGTGAAATGGCATCAAGAGGCTGCAATCATTCTCCAGATGCATTCTGCTACATATGTGGTCAATTCATTAAGAGAAGAGCAAAGAAGTTCTCTGTAACAGCATCTAAAAAAAATGTGTGAAGCTTACAAAGCAAATTTTGGCATGCCAGCTGGGGACCAAGACAAGATCTGGGCACCTCATGTTTGTGAGCATTGTAAGAAAATACTGGAAAGTAAAAAAAAGTCCTTAGTTATATGAAGGGTAAAATCTTGAATAGGAACATTTCTTAAATGAAATGTATGTAACAGAAACTAATACTTTTGTTCTTTTAAAGGATGGTATAGAAGAAAAAAAAAAAAGCAATGAAGTTTGCTGTTCCTAGAATATGGCATGAACCCACTGGTCACTCAACCAACTGCTACTTCTGCCTGGTGGATCCTTCCAAATGCCGAACTGGGAAAAATGCACCTTCTGTTTCTTATCCAGACCTTCCTTCCTTATATTGCACTAGTACCACACAGTGCTGGTCTTCCTGTACCTACACCTCCAGAAAGAAGTCAACCATCAGAAGAAGAAAGCAGCATATCAGAAAATGCATCTCACAGCTGCAGCTGTTGGGAGGAATCCTTACTGCCTAAACCAAACAGACCTCAATGAGTAAAGTAAAAGGACACAAGTGCAACTAATGTGACATTTTATTGTGGCAACGTTTCGCTCTCCAGGAGCTTTGTCAAGCCGTTACAAACGGTGCATGGGCACAGAGGGCATATATAGGCTCAGAGTGAGGTGCAGTACTAGTGGTGGTAGTAGTAGTAGTGATATAAGTTGTAGTAGTAGTAATAATACAATATGTTAGAACAATTAACTTGCACTTGGGTAAAGGATATAAAAGCTATTACTTAGGAAACAAAAATAAAGTACTTTCACAAGCTAACACCAGAGTCGCCATCGCTTCCAGCACTTCGATAAAGGATCTAACCAGAAAAAAATCCAAGCACCACGAACCAGTCAACGCAGGGGTTTACACTATACCCTGTGGAGGCTGCGACAAGATTTATGTAGGTGAAACAGCAAGAAACCTCGACACCCGCCTCAATGAACACATTTACACATGTAGGAACGATAACTTGAACAACGCCTGTGTACAACACCGAAATTCCACCAATCATCTCATGAAGTTCAGGGACGCCCGATTAGTGATCAAAGAAACTAATTTCCGCAGACGCAAGTGCCTTGAATCTTCACTAATAGCCATTTCTAATACAATTAAACAAAACAAAGGCAGCTTCACCATCTCTGAAGTCTTAGCAAGAATCCTCCTGAAAACAGTAAACCCTGCCATCATATAGTCTCTCCTGTTAATACTACACAAGCACATTACAGAGAATGAACATTGAAACAGGCCTTCTCTATCCAGCCTACAATAGAAATATTTGTCTAATCATACACAAATAACCCGCACATAGAAGAGAGGAGCTTACAGCAACGTTCTGGTCCAACTTGGACCATTTACAAAGTCACACTAACCAGAATTGGAGAAGGACGGGTATATATAGGCAGGAAGATGTAGTGGTGGTAGTAGTAGAAGCAGTAGTGGTAGTAGTAGTAGCAGAAGTAGTAGTAGTGGTGAATAAAGAGGAGGAGCCAGCCAAATACAACGAAAGGGAAGCACTGCAAGGCAGCTAGGTGCCCACAGAGGGAGAGCAAGTGCATAGAGGTGGGGGGAAGGGGAATAATGAAGGAACAGAATCATGAGAAAAAGAAAGAAAGACAACCCAGAGGAGAAAGAAGGAAAGAGGAAAGGGAAGAGGGAGAAGAAGAAAAAGAAAAAAGAAAAAAGAAAAAATGAGGAATCAGGTTAAGTCACGGGTGTTCTGAAGTTTGGAGCATTTTACAATGTAGTGGGAGAGGACGGCATCTACAGAGACGAAGCCAGGACTAAGATTCATACAAGGAAAGTTGTGTATTAGAGAGGATTCAACTAGACGGCAACTGTTGAGAGTTGGAAGTAGGGAAGACAGTTTGAGTGGAAGACCAGTCAATAGGATGGCTATGATCTCTGACGTGACAGAACAGAGCATTGTTAGTGTCAGCAAGCCTAACACTATTTTTGTGCTCCCTAAGTCTGTCAGAAAGAGATCGACCAGTTTCTCCAAAGTATTGAAAAGGACAGGAAGTGCAAGAAATAGACACCAGGAACATCTGTAGAGGGAGGAGAGGTATGAACGAGATTAGTGCAAAGAGTGTTAGTCTGGCGGAAAGTAAGCTTGATGTCTAAGGGACGGAGAGAATTGTTGAGATTAGAAAGACCGCCAGACTAACACTCTTCGCACTAATCTCATTTATACCTCTCCTCCCTCTACAGATGTTCCTGGTGTCTACTCTATTTCTTGCACTTCCTGTCCTCTTGCCGACACTAACAATGCTCTGTTCTATCACGTCAGAGATCATAGCCATCCTATTGACTGGTCTTCCGCTAAAACTGTCTTCCCTACTTCCAACTAACAGTCGCCGTCTAGTTGAATCCTCTCTAATACACAACTTTCTTTGTATGAATCTTAGTCCTGGCTTCATCTCTGTAGATGCCGTCCTCTCCCACTACATTGTAAAATGCTCCAAACTTCAGAACACCCGTGACTTAACTTGATTCCTCATTCTTTCTTTTTTTCTTTTTTCTTTTTCTTCTTCTCCCTCTTCCCCTTTCCTTCTTTCTCCTCTGGGTTGTCTTTCTTTCTTCTTTCTCGTGATTCTGTTTCTTCATTATTCCCCTTCCCCCCACCTCTATGCACTTGCTCTCCCTCTGTGGGCACCTAGCTGCCTTGCAGTGCTCCCTTTTCGTTGTATTTGGCTGGATCCTCCTCCTTATTCCCCACTACTACTACTACTACTTACTATTACTACTACTTACTACTACTACTACTACTACTACTACTACTACTTACTACTACTACTACTACTTACTACTTACTACTACCTGCCTATATATACCCGTCCTGCTCCAATTCTGGTTAATGTGACTTTGTAAATGGTCCAAGTCGGACCGAAACGTCGTCGCAAGCTCCTTTCTTCTATGTGCGGGTTATTTGTGTATCGTTCCAGTCACGGTATTGTGCCTTTTTGTTATTTGTCTAACCATTTTTGTTTCCCAAGTAATAGCTTTTATATCCTTTACTCATGTGCAAGTTAATTGTTCTAACATATTGTATTACTACTACTACAACTTATATCACTACTACTACTACCACTAGTATTGCACCTCACTATGAGCCTATATATACCCTCTGTGTCCATGTACTGTTTGTAACGGCTTGACAAAGCTCCTGGAGAGCGAAACGTTGCCACAATAAAATGTCACAATAGTTTCACTTGTGTCCTTTTACTTTACATTTTTTTTTTATTATTATCACACTGGCCGATTCCCACCGAGGCAGGGTGGCCCGAAAAAGAAAAACTTTCACCATCATTCACTCCATCACTGTCTTGCCAGAAGGGTGCTTTACACTACAGTTTTTAAACTGCAACATTAACAGAAGAAGAAAAACTTTTACTTTACATATTGTCGGTAATTCTACCAACTTTATTACAGACCTCAATGACTTTATCAGAGATCTTGGTTTGACAAAGTCAAACCTGAGCTTTTGATTTCAAGGCTCAAGCTTCTTTACTAATGAAGACAGGTTATGCTACTATATTGATGTATCAGGCCTGTTTGATGCAACTGGAATTGCATGCAATTCAGATGAGTGGAGATTCTTCATTGACAGCTCCTCCAGCAGCCTACAAGCTGTACTTCTGCACAATAGGAACAAGTATCCATGTCTTCCCTTGGCTCATTAAGTGCATCTTAAGGACTACAACAGTGTCAAACTTCTACTGGAAGCTTTGAACTATGATAAGTATGGCTGGGAGGTTATTGGAAACTTCAAAATGGTGGCATTTTTTATGGGACTCCAAGGAGATTTTACCAAGTTTACTCATTATCTCTGTCATTGGGATAGAGACAAAGCAGCACATTACCAGAGGAAACACTGGCCTCAAAGGACTGAGTTCTCAGTAGGAAGACATAATATCAAACAAACCATTTGTGGATCCTCAAAAGGTTCTGTTCCCTCCATTACACATCAAACTAAGGCTAATGAAACAGTTTGTTACAGCTCTTGACAAAGAGTCTACAGCCTTCAAGTTTCTTCAAGATATTTTTCCCCAAGCTATCAGAGGCAAAGGTGACTGCTGGTATCTTCACTGGACCACAAGTCAGGAAAATCATGGAGTACTCAGAATTTCCAAAGAAGCTCACAGAGAAGGAAAAGAAAGCCTGGGAGAGCTTTGTTGCTGTAGCACAGGGCTTTCTGGGCAATAAGAAGACTGACAAATATGTTGAACTTGTTGAGACCTTGGTAAAAAGCTATGGTCAGATGGGCTATAGGCTGTCAAGATGAGCATCAAGGATGCTCATCCTGACAATTTCAAGGATAATATGGGAGCATACTCAGAGGTGCAAGGGGAGCACTTCCACCAAGATATAATGAACTTTCGAACAGATATCAGGGATCGTATAATGAAAACATGATGGAAGACTACATTTGGGGGCTTAAACAAGAAAGTGATTTGTTGCATGCTCGCCAATCTAGAAAAACTGCTCATTTTTAAATTTGTAAATATGTTTCAGAAAGTTTAAAATAAAATTTCTGTAAATTTTGTTAGCTCTACTTTTCAATATACACCTACATGTCACAACAGGTTCCAACAGGCTTGCAGCAGTGTTTTTTTTTACATTCACAGTCTCAATGCTCTTCATTATTGTTCCAGCAGTCATAGAAGGTGGTTGTGATGTACAAGTTTAAATTTTGAGGTGAAAGGTAGGTGATTTTCTTAGCCATACAGGGTGGATACACCAAGTTCTGCTGCTTTCTATGTGAATGGGGCAGCTGTGCAAAAGGTTCCCACTACACCAGGAGAGACTGGCCACTTCGTCAATCATTGGAGCCTGGGATGAAAAATGTTCAACATCCACCTCTCATCGAACCAAACAAAATTTTGCTACCACCACCACACAAAACTGGGGGTTATGAAAAACTTGGTGAAAGCTATGGACAAAACCAGTCAGGGATTCAAGTATTTAACGTCAAAATTCCCCTCAGTGAGCAACGTTAAGATAAGAGAGGGAGTCTTCAATGGTCCTCAGATTCAAGAGCTTCTTAAAGATGGCAACTTTGAATCAGACCTTAACTGAGAGGAGAAAGCTGCTTGGGAAGCATTGAAGTTAGCGGTGAAGGGATTTCTCGAAACAGAAGGGAAGGTAACAAGGAAGAATTGTGGAAAACCTCATCAAGGCTTACAAGAACATGGGATGAAAGTTAAGACATGTGCAACATCTGGTTATCTTCATTGTAGACGTTTCACCATCCAGTGGCTTTATCAATACAGATTCTAGGACATAATTAGAAGACAGTAGAACTATATGCAAAAGATTAGGTAATCAGTCCTTCAGCCTTGGAGCTGGTGTGGAGAGCACTGTGGTTGTAGATTCTGGAGCAAAGGCAAGGAGACTGGTGTTTATATAGGCATCAGTGGATGGGGACACGTAGCAGACGTTGGCATAGCCACTGGAAGGTGGGATTCCCCAGTGGAAGTAGGTCCTACCCAAAGGGATGGGTTAGTTGTAGTAGCTGTGAAGAAGGTCTTGTAGATGTCCTCTGAACCAAGATTCCATTATGATGCAGTGTCTGACAAGTTGTGCAACAAAGGTATACAATACCGACAAGATGAAAGTTAAGACACATGCGCAACATCTGGTTATCTTTATTGTAGACGTTTCGCCATCCAGTGGCTTTATCCATACAGATTCTAGGACATAATTAGAAGACAGTAGAACTATATACAGGACCTTCATGGCTACTACAACTAACCCATCCCTTTGGGTAGGACCTACTTCCACTGGGGTATCCCGCCTACCAGTGATTATGCCCACGTCTACTACATGTCCCTATCCACTGACGCCTATATAAACACCAGTCTCCTTGCCTTTGCTCCAGAATCTCTACAACCATGGTGCTCTCCACACCAGCTCCAAGGCTGAAGGACTGATTATCTCATCTTTGGTATTTGGTTCTACTTTCTTCTAATTATATCCTAGAATCTGTATTGATAGCCACTGGATGGCGAAACGTCTACAATAAAGATAACCAGATGTTGCACATATGTATTAACTTTCATCTTGTCGGTATTGTATACCTTTCATGCACAAGAACATGGGATGTAACATGTCACTTAAAATCCACATTTTGGACTCTTACTAAGACTTTTTTGCAGCAAACTGTGGGGCAGTTAGTGACGAACATGGTGAAAGGTTTCACCAAGATATTTCAACCTTGGAAAAATGGTACCAGGGCAAATGGGGCACAAGAATGATTGCAGACTATTGCTGGATATTGGCAAGAGATGATTCTTCAGCCCACTATAAGTGTCAAGCAAAAAGGCAGAGAGTAGGTATGGATTAGAGTTTAAAACATACTGACATATTGTACTTCATAATAAAATAATCAAATATTACACATTTTGCATTTTTCAAGGTGATATTTGGATTAAGGATATGAAAATACATAAGAATTAACTAATCTCATTTAAGAAGCACACAACTTTTCAAATACTGTTAACCAGTGTAATTAATGTACTTATGCAGACGCATGTTACTTTGTTACTAACCTTCAGGGTTAATAATCTGAACGAAGTCGTCATCGACTCGACATCAGTGGATTTTCTTATATTAATGCTTTAAATGCTCTCTTCAGACTTTAATATAGGTGGTGGCTTACTTAAATTAAGCATTCATAAATTAGAGAGATCTTGGGAAACATGAGTTACATAAGAAAAATGCTGTCTGCTGGAGCTTTGCAAGAAGAGGGAGAATGGGAAACACTGTTCAAGGCGCAACAAGCAGACTGTGAAAATCCAAAGCAAGCACTACCCAAATTTTACTTTTTTTTTTTTTTTTTTTTGGGGGGGGGGGGGGGGGAGATGATGGGATTTACAGCATGTATTATTATCAAAGTATTTTTAGAAGGCAATGAAATTTTGGAAGGACTTTTTCAAGTTTTTTTTTTTTACACACAATCACATTATCATGTTGCTTTATGCAAGGATTTACTATCCTGCATTTCACTTACCGGAAAAGAGCAGAGACGTTGATTCCTCAGTAAATCTTCATCTGCCTTCGAAGCAATATTAACTTCCCAAATTTCCTGACCAATCTGTAAAAAGCATAATGCAATTAAACCAAATATTTAATGACTGAAAAACTAACTTTTTATGGAGAAAATACTGAAGATCTTGAATAGGGGATAAAAAAAAATTATCAGTTTTTTTTTTTCTTAAGAAATAGGAGCTGCCCCACAGTTTAAGTCAACATTTCTCAGGTAGTTTGTCAGTGCTTACTTACAATGTTTCTATTAAATTTTCAGGCTCTAGGAGTCTCTCATTTTGACCATAGGTCTTAGTGAATACATTTCACTGCATATCTATTCCAATTAGAGTGCTGTGCATCTAGCATTTTAACTTTCTTAATTAATAAGTACTTAGTTTTACAATAAATTTTGTAAGTTTTTACATACCTTAATGTACTCTGTTAGTTCTACGGGTCTGAAGTTTTTTGTATAGAGTTTGGCATCCAAATATTGGGCTAATTCCTGCAAGTTACCAACTGTTGCACTCATAGCCACTAGTTGCACTTTGGCTGCAAGTAACAAATAATCTAGCTGTATTTTTACATAATAGATTATGCAGAACAGGACGATAATAAACTATGCACGATTGCGGTAACTAGTTACATGGTCCATAGACAGAGAAACTAAAACCTAACAAATCCCCAGGCCCTGATGAACTGTTTGCAAGGGTGTCAAAGGAATGTAAAGAATAACTTAGCATACCTTTGGCTAATCTTTTTAACATATCACTACAAACTGGCATAGTGCTTCATAAGTGGAAAATGGCAAATGTAATACCTATTTACAAGGCAGGTGACAGGTCCTTGGCTTCAAACTATAGACCAATAAGCCTTACCTCCATAGTGGGAAAATTTATGGAATCAATAACTGCCAAAGCAATTCGTAGCCATCTTGACAGGCACAGATTGATTAATGAATCTCGACACTGTTTTACAAAGGGGCATTCTTGTCTTACGAATTTACTAACTTTTTTCACTAAGGTGTTTGAAGAGGTAGATCATGGCAATGAATATGATACTGTGTATACGGACTTTAGTAAGGATTTCGATAGTTCCACATCAGAGGCTATTGAGGAAACTTAAGGCACACGGAATAGGAAAAAAAATTTCCCGGGTAGAGGCATGGCTGACAAATAGGCGGCAGAGAGTTTGCATAAATGGGGAGAAATCAGAATGGGGGCACATCACAAGCAGTGTTCCACAGGGGTCAGTGTTGGGTCCGTTGTTATTCGCAATTTACATAAACGACATAGATGAGAGAATAAATAGCGACATAAGCAAATTTGCTGTTTCACCAAAATAGGCCGTCCAATTCATTCTAATGAGGGTACTAGAGCACTCCAGGATGATTTGAATAGACTGATGCAATGGTCGGAGAAGTGGCAGATGCAGTTTAATATAGACATATGCAAAGTTCTAAATGTTGAACAGGAAAATAACCATGCGACATATAAACTAAATAATGTAGATCTTAATAATACTGATTGCGAAAAGGATTTAGGTGTTCTGGTTAGCAGTAATCTAAAACCAAGACAACAGTGCATTAGTGTTCGCAATAAAGCTAACAGAATTCTTGGCTTCATATCTAGAAGTATAAATAATAGAAGTCCTCAGGTTGTTCTTCAACTCTATATATCCTTGGTTAGGCCTCATTTAGATTATGCTGCTCAGTTCTGGTCACCGTATTACAGAATGGATATAAATGCTCTGGAAAACATACAGAGGAGGATGACAAAGATGATCCCATGTATCAGAAATCTTCCCTATGAGGATAGACTGAGGGCCCTGAATCTGCACTCTCTCGAAAGGCGTAGAATTAAAGGGGATATGATCGAGGTGTATAAATGGAAAACAGGAATAAATAAAGGAGATGTAAATAGCGTGCTGAAAATTTCCACCCAAGACAGGACTCGCAGCAATGGTTTAAGTTGGAAAAATTCAGATTCAGGAAGGATATAGGAAAGCAATGGTTTGGTAATAGAGTTGTGGATGAGTGGAACAAAATCCCGAGTACAGTTATTGAGGCTAAAACATTGTGTAGTTTTAAAAATAGGTTAGATAAATACATGAGTGGGTGTGGGTGGGTGAGAGTTGGACCTGACTAGCTTGTGCTGCTGGGTCTGGTGCTGTGCTCCTTCCTTGAGTGGAGGTGACTAGACTGGGTGGGTCATTGGGCTAATCCAGAGGGGGAGGGGGGGGGACATGGACCTGTTCTGCATGGGTCAGCAGGCCTGCTGCAGGGTTCCTTCTTATGTTCTTATCTCCACCTTCCTTAGAAAACTTGGAGACAGAGAAAGGTGGGTTAAGCAGTGAGGTTTCTTTTGGTTTGCAGAGGCATTTTAGATTATAACAAACCTTTCAACTGATGCTCGCACAGATCTGTATCAATGAGGTCAGTGTCGCTTACACAGCCCTACATGTAAATTCTAGTGCCTTGAAATCTGGCACAAGAGGCCAGGGAAGCCTAAGAATAAGAATATGGGTCTGTGTGTGTACAGTACACAACAAATCTGGGCCATTGAAATGCATGGCAGGAATGCCATGTTAGTCCACCATTGTTCACCACAGCATTCTGAACTGATATTCCCCTTTAAGAGCACATTCTGCATTTAATAATCGACAGTGACAGACATTTCCAACATTGATGATAGAAAAAAAAAAAAAGTTCTGCAGCTTTGAGAAGACAGTAATAATGTGACAAGAGAAATTCAGAGAATAGTGCTGAAAATCCCAATGCCCCCTTATCTACCTCATGCATCATCATTTTCATATGTCCATGCCATAAATGAAAGCTAATATTTCCCCATGGTTTAAGCACAGATATGAGATGTTGGGGTGGTTTGGTCATTTAGAGAGAATGGAACAAAGTAGAATGACTTGGAGAGCATATAAACCTGTAGAGGAAGGAAGGCGGGGTAAGAGTCGTCCTCAAAAAGGTTGGAAGAAGGGGATAAAGGAGGTTTTGTGGACAAGGGGCTCGGACTTCCAGCAAGCGTGCGTGTGTTAGATAAGAGCGAATAGAGACGAATGGTTTTTTTGGGACCTGACAAGCTGTTGGAGTGCAAGCAGGGTAATATTTTGTGAAGGGATTCAGGGAAACCGGTTAGTCGAACTTGAAGCCTGCACTTTGAAGGAGGGGTTTGGGATATTGCCAGTTTGGAGGGATGTCTAAGCAGTTTACCTGAGCACCTCTGCAAAGACTGCAGTTATGTATGAGTGATGGTGAACGTGTTGAATGATGAAAGTTTTTTCTTTCTTTTTGGGTTTCTCTTTCTTTTTGGGTCATCCTGCCTCAGTGGGAAATGGCTGAAGTTAAAAAAAAAAAAATAGTAACAGCAGTGGTGAGGAGTTTAATTTCCTATCAACTGATGATCAAACCAGTGATAGCATATTGATTATTCACCTGTGAAGCATCAATTTATATGGTAACGTACACGGTCTGGTGGTGTGCCAAGAGCTATCCCCAAGGGATGTGGTAGATTACAGGATCCAACTCAAGTGAGTGACAGATGGTGATTATGGTGGTGGAACAAACACATGGCAGTTATTTCCTTTCACTGTATTAAAAGATGTAACCAACCAATGTCCAATGGAGGGCATAATATTTATAGGCAAATTTATATTTACTAGAAAAGTATTTTGTAGGTGAATTACAGCTGAAGAATATCACATTATGACAATTTACAATAAAATTAATGTATTATGAAATTATGGGGAATTAAAATATGTAAAAAGTAAAAATTAATTTATAAAATCCTGTCCAAGGTTACTGAGACTTACGTGCAGCATAGCGCATTTTTGTGAGAGTTCCCTCCAGTGTAGCCCCTCGGCCTCCAGTATCACCCAACATGTGAACTTCATCCACAACCACTATGCCCAATTCTTCTATACGACCAGTCTCTAGCAGGGCATTCACTAGTCCAGATGCCTTCTCTATGGTTGCCACATAAATAACTCGCCTACAGGAAAAGAACGTGATTCATCAAAAGTAAAACCATATTATAACAATATTATAACCGGTGACAAATATTTAGGCATACCACTATCCTTACAAAACTGCAGAGGAAAAGGGCAGGGAAGGGGGGCTTACATCCCTACTGGTCCTACGAAACTAGACACCATGAATGGTACAAAAATTAAGTCTACACAATCTTTTTCAGATTAACTCTTTGAGGGTGAAGATCCCTGCTCACAAACTTGCTCCCAGGGTCAAAGAATTTAAAAAAAACATCTTATGAAATGATAGAGAACCTTTTTCCAGAGATAAAATCAAAAGTACGAAATCTGATGGAAAACTTACGGAATTACTCGTGAAGTTAATGGTCTCGGCAATATTTATACATTGGCGATTTTGCCCACTGAGCCATTTTTGGGGCCAATTCCATTGTTCCAGTCAACCAAACTCATAGCTGTTTAGCTAGAACTCCCTTTATTCTATCAATTGAGTATAAGAAACTGCCCATTTACCTATTTCAATTACCCAATAAAGTGATCTATTTTTACTGACACAAAAATAAAGACAATGTTATTCAGACTACTGCATAATGGTAGTAATTGTGTAAATAATGTCAGTGCATTCGTGAGTTCATATCAAACCAGTGAGTTGACGTGTAATGGACAACATGATTTGTTTACTCTTGAACACTGGCAAAAATGGATCATTTCTGCTACTTTGAGCTCAATTTAAAGCTACTTTTAGTCTGTACAACATTCAAAATCATCTGTTTCTGTAATATATCTGCCAGTATATGAAATGAGACCAAGAAACCGAGAATACAACCACATGAAATTACACTGCAAAATACACGCCATAAACATGGTTGCAGTTTTTTTTCTCCTCATCATGCACTGCGTGCTGCAGGATTTTTTTTATACTGTGCACACTGACCACAAGGACCCATTCCCTCATATGTAGGCCTACCAGCTTTCTCCTGCAAGATTGGAAGCCCTAGAATTTTGATGTAGTATTACGGGACCGACCCTAGATGCAAAGCTGTAATGTTATAGGACTGACCCTGAAAGGGTCAAGATAGTTCTGTATTTTGGAAGCCTTTTTTTTTTTTCCAACAAACCGGTCATATCCCACTGAAGCAGGGTACCCTAAAAAGAAAAATTAAAATCTCTTTTTAAATTTAATGATTTATATAGGAGAAGGGGTTACTAGCCCCTTGCTCCTGGCATTTTAGTCGCCTCTTATGACACGCATGGCTTATGGAGGAAGAATTCTGTTCCACTTTCCCATGGAGATAAGAGGAAATAAAGAACAAGAAGTATTAAGAAAATAGAAGAAAACCTAGATGGGTATGCATATATATGCATGTGTCGTGTGACCTAAATGTAAGTAGAAGTAGCATCTCACGTGTTTATGAGAGAAGAGAAAAAAAAACAGCAATCCTACTATCATGTAAAACAATTACAGGTTTCAGTTTCACATTCACTTGGCAGGACAGTAGTACCTCCCTGGGTGGTTGTGTTCACCAACCTACTACCTACGTGTTTAAATATTTGCATAAAACAACTTTAAGGCACTCTTAAATAGCAGAATTCGCAAACAAATATTCATCAGTTTGCAGGGTAAAAAAAATTTAAGTCTTACAAAAAAGCTACATACTTTTTTCGTCTGGGCTTAGGAGGAAAAGTGCCTCGACTTCCAGCATATTCCTCCACAAGGAACCCCAATTCAACTCCGAATGGTGACAAATCTCGAACCTAACAAGAAAAAGACTAGTCACAACTTTATTTGGCAAATACCACACCATGTTAAAAGAAAAAAAAGTACTGGTAATTAAACAAATACATGTAAAACATTGGTACTATGTAAACTATAAAAAAATTTCAAGATAATTTTATTGTGCCAGAACAATTTTTATACACAAATATCCGAGACATTGCATGACGGAAAAGAACAAGTGCCACCATGGCCAAAATCTGGGTTAGTGAATGAACTGGTTCCTTAATGTTTCAACTGTTTGTGGAAATGTGAAATTAGTATTGTTTTCTGCATCTGTAGGATAGCCTCAGAGCCCCATAACAAAATAAGATAACAGACCTGCATAATTCCAATCTCCCACACACCTGCATTTTTCCCCAGTGTTTGAATTTGGCACTTGTTCTTTTCTGCTGTGCAATGCCTCAAGTGTGTGGTGTCCTGGATACCAAAACCATTTTTTTTTTTTTTTTTTTTTTTTTTTTTGCTCAAGCAACTTTCCTACCAACAACTACGCTCAAAAGAAGCAGTTCTAAGCATGAGAATTTAAGCTCAAGAGTTTATATGGATGTGTTAATTACACAAGAAAAGTTGTCACCGTTTTCTTGCCCAAACTGTGATGCTACCACTTGAAAATCTAGAGAGAATTATGTACAGTTGTCCCTCCAAATGTGTAGGCTTATTTGCAAGATTCAGTTATTAAATGTGTTTACGGATGAGTACTCAGTGAACAGAATTAATTAACCATGTTTCCTGATGGGTAATCAGTTAACAGATTCAATAGTCCAACATATTTCTGACTCAATGGTTACCCCCACATTAAAATCTCTTTCTGATCAGATCAATACTTTTCACGAATGTTAATATTGACAAGATTAGAGTGATATACCATATTACAGAAATATGGTCTTTGAAACACAAAATGAACCCAAATCAGTAACAAAATTTGTTATAAAAACTTAATTTCATGTTATCCCCTACATGAATTTGTAGGGATGACTAATTAATGAATGGAAGTCAGGTGTATGTTGTACAATACATCATTAACCCTTAACATTATTCATACTGGTACGCAAGTGATGTCGGTGTCCTGTGTCCAACGTATGCACATTCACTCACCAACCCTCCCTTAGTCCCTCCCTCCCTCACTTTCCCCCTCCCACCCACATTCACACCCCTCTTTCATAACCACCCACATTCGTACCCTCTTTCATAACCACCCACATTCATACCCTCTTTCATAATCACCCACTCATACCCACTAGACACACACCCATTCCTGAGATAAAGATCTCTTCACTTGTATGAAGTTTCTAAGTGTTAATTCATCTTCATGATATGCATGACATTTTTATTCTAATAATGTACATATTAAGTCTAAACAGAATGCCACAATCAAGGTTGGCTGAATGCTTCTTACCTTTTCCTGCACTAAGGATACATAGGGTAGTATAAAAATTGCATCACACTGTTTAAGTAGGAGCTGACGTAGCATGAGTATTTCAGCAACCAAAGTCTTGCCACCACTTGTTGGTAATGAAACTAGGAGGTTTCTTGACCCATAGCCTTCCTTGATGCACTCTTCTTGCCATTCTGCATTAAAGCAATTTTCCAATTTATTCCAAAGTTGTAAACATAGATAGTTCAAAAATATTGGTGTTCTTTGGTGTAGTTTAATATTTTCTATTGCATTTCTCAAGTCCTCTATGCAAAACATCGACAAAAAACTAAAACAAAATACAGTATCTTTAATTATAAGAAAAAAGGTCTGTACACGAAAAAATGCAATGTTGAACATTTACTAGTATAGTTCTTGTAAAAAGGATCTAGCCACTAACATTTTAGTAATGTGTTCAAAGTACACTTTAGCTCTACATCCTAATTGTTGATGAACATTAAGTGTACAGCATATGAATCTAAAACCATTGACATCTAAAAAGGTCAAAACTTGTACTGTAGTACACGTGCAGGAAATCAGTGAGATGGGCAAAAAAAATTCTACCATGCCTACAAAATGATGAAAGAATTCGTACATACAAGTAGGTCATCTTCATTGGATGTCTTAGTCCTGGAACTTTGGTCATTCAATGACAAGGTCCTGGGACCAAAACATATCCAATAAAGATGTCTTATGTGTGCACTTATGTTCTTTCATCAATATGACTGGTATCATTACACCTTCCACCTAAAAGCCTGCAGAGCAACATTTTGCATAAAACTAGCAGACAAAATATGCAGTATCCAGTTATACCTCAGTGATTTGATGTCCTTAAAACTCAAAAAGAGGAAGAGAAATATTGTATCATCTCTTCTAAGTAGACTTGTATAGGATAATTCTGATAATCAGTTTCAGTGGCAGCACCAAGAGAGGTATGGGGGTTTCGGCCCCCTCAATTTCCTTCAACCCCATAAGCCCCTCCTGTAATGAAACTTCTCTTATTCAACTTATTCTTAAGCATAAATATCTGCCTATACCAGATGTTCATACAACTTAAGAATGGAGGAATACTACAGAGGCCTACTGATTTACTGTTAGGTAAATGGACATGTGCAAATAAGGAGGCATTTTATTGTGGCAATGTTTCATTCTCCAGGAACTTTCATCAAGCTCGACAAAGCTTCTGGAGAGCAAAACGTTACCACAATAGAATATCTTATTAGTTAAACATGCACCCTCTTACTTAAAATCCTCGATAATTTTAGTTGTGGTTCATAAGCTGGACTACCTGCGGCCAACAGTAACAGCCTGGTCAATCAGGCTCTGATCCACTGAGAGGTCTAGTCAAGGGCTGGGCTGCAGGGGCATTGACTCCTGGAACACCCTCCAGGTAGACTCTAGGTAGCTATAAATATACGTTGGACAGATACACGAGTGGTTGTGGCTGGGTGAGAGTTGAACTTTTGTACCATGGACCAGTAATCCTACTGCAGTTTTTCACCTTTCATATGCTCTTATGATTTAGTAGATATAAAAGAAAGCTGGAAATTTGTGTGGAAAAATTTAACAATGGTGTATATGCAAATAAGGGTAAAGTATCAGAGTACAGTGGTACTAATACGTACTTTGGAACGGGTGCGAGGCATTATCTTCAAATGCTGCAGAGAGAATAAGGCTCAAGGCAGTGCATGTCATGTTCACTATCTATGTGCAGTGTAAATATTATTCAGAGAATAAAGAGTAAGAAAATGCAAAATGGTTTGATTACTTACACAAGATAGAGGAAGATAGGTTGACCAAGAGGATGTATAAATCTTGGGTGGATGGAGTGTGGTATAAGGGACATCCTAAGAAGGGTTGGAGGGAGGGTGTGAAGAGGGTTTGAAGAGGGTTTTCAGTGGTAGACACTTGAGCATCCAACAGATTTGTAAATGTATTATAACAGTGAAGATAAGTGAATTTTTGGAATTTGCAGTGTTGCTCGAGTATGAGCAAAATAAAAAATTTTAAATTGTTCAGGGAAAAACTGATAGCAAGAATTGAGTGGAAGAGGAAAGAACAGTGCACCCTGAAGAATAGGTAAGGATGTCATGGTTCGCAGAGTTACTTAAATTGTGTTGTCCACACACTTCTTGCAAGTCAACTGTTGAACGAGTGACTGGAAAATTTCCCTCTTCACCTTTAGTGAATAACAATTATTTACCCAACATGCAGTATTATTCATGTGAATACAGGAAGCTACAGTTTAGTAAAAGCTTACCATAGAGCTCTGATATGCCATGGTGCAATTTGAGAACCTCAGCTACCTTGGATGGCAAGCCAAAAAATGGTCCAAGCTGGAAGTCTTCACCTAATTTGTCTATTCTGGCAGCATCCTCAAGTGCTGTAGCTACAGCCTCTGCTCGACGCTCACAGTCAGACTTCAAGGGAGCTGAAGTTTATATGTACCACATTATTATTATGTTCACTGGGAAGCACTAAATTCATAAAGTGAATGGGAAGTAATCAAGCTTATTCCAAGAAAAGGGCAGCACCATTTCTTCAGATCCTAAAAGTTTTATTATTAATAATTCAACTACCTCTTCCTTGGCTAACTTGATTTTATATTAAAAAAAAAATTTAAATACATGATAAATATTGTATTATGATAGGATACTGGTAATACAATTACCTATGTAAAATATTTCCCAATGGAACTGAGACTTACATACAGTATATTTAACACACAAGTGTTTTTACAACTAAAATCTTAACCCTGTAGAGTATCTAATTCTAACATTAAAATAGACTATCAATCAACAACTGAAATGGGTATATGCTGCTGTAATCTACATTATTCGTAACTTTCTTTGCTTAATACTATGTTAAGATTTTAACTAATGCTAAAATTAAATTAAGTCTGAAATCACTACTCAATATAACACTCCTACAACACCACAGACTATACATTGGAACCTTGGCATTCGAACTTAATTGGTTCCAGAAGGCTGTTCAAGTGCTGATCTGTTCGAGTACAGAATGAATTTTTCCCAAACAATTTCCTTTTCGGTTAGCAGTTATCACTAACCCTCTTAAACCCCATGGTGACTTATTTATAAATATAAAAAAAAACACCAAAAAATGCAAAGAAACACAAAATAGTCTACAGCGAAGTTCTGGCAGGTCATGTTTGTTTGGTCGAGTGCCAAGTAAATGGTCAACTACCGAGAGATTTGTTTACCGAACAAAGCATTCAAAAACCGAATTGAGTACAAAGCTGTTGAAGTACCAAGGTTCCACTGTATTAACCCTTTGACTGTCGCGGCCATATATATACGTTTTACGAGGTGCCGTGTTTGACGTATATATACTCATAAATTCTAGCGGCTTCAAATCAAGCAGGAGAAAGCTGGTAGGCCCACATGTGAGAGAATGGGTCTGTGTGGTCAGTGTGCACCATATAAAAAAAATCCTGGAGCACACAGTGCATAATGAGAAAAAAAAAACTCCGACCGTTTTTTTTAATTAAAATGCCGATTTTGTGGTCTATTTTCGTATAGTATTTATGGTTGTATTCTCGTTTTCTTGGTCTCATTTGATAGAATGGAAAACATGTTACAGAAATAGAGGTGTTTTTGATTGATTTTACTATAAAAAGAACCTAGAAATGGAGCTCAAATTAGGGGAAATGTTTGATTTTTGCCAATGTTCAAAAGTAAACAAATGATGCCATTGTCCAATATATGTCCAACTAGCCATTCTAATATGCAGTCATGAATGGGTTGATGTTATTTATACAGTTATTACAGCATTGCAGTAGCCTGCATAATAGTAAGTCTAATACAGTGGACCCCCGCTTAACGATCACCTCCAAATGCGACCAATTATGTAAGTGTATTTATGTAAGTGCGTTTGTACGTGTATGTTTGGGGGTCTGAAATGGACTAATCTACTTCACAATATTCCTTATGGGGAAAAATTCAGTCAGTACTGGCACCTGAACATACTACTGGAATGAAAAAAGTTCGTTAAGCGGGGGTCCACTGTATTTTTTGTTTGAATAAAAATTCAAAATAGAAAGCAAGAGTAATATCAGAGGGGCCTGGAGACGTGACTGATGAACAAAGAAAACGTTATTTTAGAGCCTGGAATGTCTGCATTGTTCATTCTGGACCTTATTTTGAAATTGTCATATTTTTTAGTTTTCGTGAAATTGGCCAAATTGCAAATTTCTGACCACATTATTAGGTAGTTGAAATCAGTAAATGGGCAGTTTCTTGTACTCAATCGATAGAAAAAATGAAGTTCTAAAGAAATAGCTATGAGTTTGGGCGACTGGAACAATGGAATTAGCCGAAAATAGGGCTCAAAGTGGGCGAAATCGCCGATTTGTAAACAGCGCCGAGGTCGCTAACTTCGCGAGAGCATAATTCCGTCAGTTTTCCATCAAATTTCGTTGTTTTGGTGTCATTACAATCGGGAAAAGATTCTCTATCATTTCATAAGAAAGAATAATTTTTTTTTTTTTTAAATTTTGCGACACCAGGAGACACCTCAGGATTGGGGGTTGCGACAGTCAAAGGGTTAAACCATACCACGGGCAGGATTGAACCCGCGGTCAGAGAGTCTCAAAACTCCAGACCGCAGCTTCAATCCCGCCCATAGTATGGTTTGTTTGCAATCGTGTCATTACGATTTCAAGAGTCATGTTCCACTGTACAATGGACCCCCGGTTAACAATATTTTTTCGTTCCAGAAGTATGTTCAAGTGCCAGTACTGACCGAATTTGTTCCCATAAGGAATATTGTGAAGTAGATTAGTCCATTTCAGACCCCCACACATACACGTACAAATGCACTTACATAAATACATTTACATAATTGGTCGCATTGGGAGGTGATCGTTAAGCGGGGGTCCACTGTATTATGTGCATGATCATATATAAAGACAATGTACAGTATTGTGTGCTTTTGAATTTATATGCTATTAAAACAACGTACACTGTAACACTATTTTCTGTATTCTTTCTAGCCCACCTTTCTTCTAATAGTTAGTTAAATTTTACCCTTCTTACCCCTTTCAACAAGTTAACAACTTTCACACTTCTCTTACCCACTGCTGACATTCACCTTGTATCCCATCTAGCCCTTAGCTGCCACTAAATAATGACCTGATATATCCATCACCCTAAAGTCTACCTCTTAACCTTACCTACAAATTCACAGTCTAACAAACTGCCACTACTATGCCCTATATTCTAAATCTTATTTATTTATCCAGCTTCTCTTCATTTACAGTATTCACAATCAATTCTTTCTCACTCATACTACACCCACATACATTCAAACATCCTAACTTCAAAGCTGTCTTCTTTGATTGTATATACATGCACATGTTTAATTAAAATTTAAGGTACCCTAAGAAGTCTAAGCAACACTTCTGACAAGTACAGTACTATTTGTTTTCTTATTCATAAAACTAAAGCTCCCCTCTGAGACAGTGTGCATATATCTGCTTACAGAATAAATATTATGTTCACTTGCTCTTGTAAAAAAGAAAATCCTGCCATGTCACAATCAAAGTTATGAGTTGCCTAAAGAACCAAATGTCTGTATAAGGCACCACTTATGCAGAGCCACTTAATAATAATAATAATAATAATAATAATAATAATAATAATAATAATAATAATAATAATAATAATAATAATAATAATAATAATAATAATAATAATAATAATAATAATTAATAATAATAATTAATAATATCTTTATTTCTACAATAATATCTCTATTTCTATTATTTAATAAATGTATGGAAGAGGGTAAGGTACCTAGGGATTGGCAGAGAGCATGCATAGTTCCTTTGTATAAAGGCAAAGGGGGCAAAAGAGTGCAAAAATTATAGGGGGATAAGTCTGTTGAGTATACCTGGTAAAGTGTATGGTAGAGTTATTATTGAAAGAATTAAGAGTAAGATGGAGAATAGGATAGCAGATGAACAAGGAGGCTTTAGGAAAGGTAGGGGGTGTGTGGACCAGGTGCTTACAGTGAAACATAAGTGAACAGTATTTAGATAAGGCTCAAGAGGTTTTTGTGGCATTTATGGATTTGGAAAAGGCATATGACAGGGTGGATAGGGAGGCAATGTGGCAGATGTTGCAGGTGTATGGTATAGGAGGTAGGTTACTGAAAGCAGTGAAGAGTTTTTACGAGGATAGTGAGGCTCAAGTTAGAGTATGTAGGAAAGAGGGAGATTATTTCCCAGTAAAAGTAGGCCTTAGACAAGGATGTGTGATGTCACCGTGGTTGTTTAATATATTTATAGATGGGGTTGTAAGAGAAGTAAATGCGAGGGTCTTGGCAAGAGGCGTGGAGTTAAAAGATAAAGAATCGCACATAAAGTGGGAGTTGTCACAGTTGCTCTTTGCTGATGACACTGTGCTCTTGGGAGATTCTGAAGAGAAGTTGCAGAGGTTGGTGGATGAATTTGGTAGGGTATGTAAAAGAAGAAAATTAAAAGTGAATACAGGAAAGAGTAAGGTTATGAAGATAACAAAAAGATTAGGCGATGAAAGATCGGATATCAGATTGGAGGGAGAGAGTATGGAGGAGGTGAATATATTCAGATATTTGGAACCTGACGATCTGTTGGAGTGTGAGCAGGGTAATATTTAGTGAAGGGATTCATGGAAACCGGTTATTTTCATATAGTCGGACTCGAGTCCTGGAAGTGGTAAGTACAATGCCTGCACTTTAAAGGAGGGGTTTTGGATATTGGCAGTTTGGAGGGATATGTTGTGTATCTTTAAACGTATATGCTTCTAAACTGTTGTATTCTAGGCACCTCTGCAAATACAGTGATAATGTGTGAGTGTGGTGAAAGTGTTGAATGATGATGAAAGTATTTTCTTATTGGGGATTTTCTTTCTTTTTTGGGTCACCCTGCCTCGGTGGGAGACAGCCGACTTGTTGGAAAAAAAAAAAAAATATTGGGAGTGGACGTGTCAGCGGATGTGTCTATGAAAGATGAGGTGAATCATAGAATTGATGAGGGGAAAAGGGTGAGTGGTGTACTTAGGAGTCTGTGGAGACAAAGAACTTTGTCCTTGGAGGCAAAGAGGGGGATGTATGAGAGTATAGTTTTACCAATGCTCTTATATGGGTGTGAAGCATGGGTGATGAATGTTGCAGCGAGGAGAAGGCTGGAGGTAGTGGAGATGTCATGTCTGAGGGCAATGTGTGGTGTGAATATAATGCAGAGAATTCACAGTTTGGAAGTTAGGAGGAGGTGCGGGATTGCCAAAACTGTTGTCCAGAGGGCTGAAGAAAGGTTGTTGAGGTGGTTCGGACATGTAGAGAGAATGGAACAAAACAGAATGACTTCAAGAGTGTATCAGTCTGTAGCGGAAGGAAGGTGGGGTAGGGGTCGGCCTAGGAAAGGTTGGAGGGAGGGGGTAAAGGAGGTTTTGTGTGCGAGGGGCTTGGACTTCCAGCGTGCATGCGTGAGCGTGTTTGGTAGGAGTGAATGAAGACAAATGGTTTTTAATGCTTAATGTGCTGTTGGAGTGTGAGCAAAGTAACATTTATGAAGGGATTCAGGGAAAACGGCAGGCTGGACTTGAGTCCTGGAGATAGGAAGTACAGTGCCTGCACTCTGAAGGAGGGGTGTTAATGTTGCAGTTTTATAACTGTAGTGTAAGTGTGCCTCAGGCAAGACAGTGATGGATTGAATGATGAAAGTTATTCTTTCTCAGGTCACCCTACCTTGGTGGGAAATGGCCGATGTATTAATAAAAATAATATAGCGTAAAACACCCTTCTGGCAAGACAGTGATGGAGTGAATGATGGTGAAAGTTTTTCTTTTTCGGGCCACCCTGCCTTGGTGGGAATTTCTACAAGTACATGTACAGGTCCGCATCCCTTTATCCGTAATTTTGAAATTCGAAAAGTTCCGAAAACCGAAGTTTTTCCGTGGTGTATAAGTGGAAAACGGGAATTAATACGGGGGATGTAAATAGCGTGCTAAAAATATCTACCCTAGCCTAGACCTGACTAACTTGTGCTACTAGGTCAGATGCTGTGCTTCCTTGGTTGGATAAACATGTTAGGTTGGATAAACACGAGTGAGGGGTTGGATTTGAGTGGGACTTGCACAGAAAATTGAGTTGGGCAAATACTCAGTGGGATGGATTGTGAAGGACCTACCTAGTATGGGTCAACAGGCCTGCTGCAGTCTTCCTCTTTTCTTATGTTCTTATGTGTGGAGTGTCAGTCATCTCTACATAACTCCAACGCCGCCATGTGGCAGCACTGACAGCCAGTGTGGCGTCAGTTGTGTCTCAGAGCTTGTAGTGTTCACACTCGTGTCTGCTGTTCGCTGATACACCTACCATCTGACTTATGACCTGCTCGACTATCAACCGTGTTTTTTATGCCAAATTTCTGGGAAATAAACAACTATTTGTGTTGTACACAGTGTTTATCCTAAACCTTACAGTATAAAATACAGTACTAACAACATAAAAAGTAAAGTAAAACATGAAATACCAAAATAAAACAATAAAATAAAGTCATTACAAAAATGTTTTGTTGATATTCAGTAGTAAAGTTCGACTTACGACCATTTCGACTTACGACCGGTTTCTTGGAACCGAACTCGGATGGTAGGTGTATTTTGTTCTTGAGTTTTATTTTGTGACTTTAATTTACTGTAAAAATGTCAAAAAGAGCTGCTGATACCCCTATGGGTAACAGTGAAAAAATGAAAAAGAAGCATCTGACATTATCAGTAAATTGCTGGCCTTAAACAATGTGCATTTATCAGTGAGCAAGAGATTATGGCAATTTACTCAGTTAAAGAGAGACTGCTTTGACAGAACCCTATGTTAATAAGACAGACGACACTTGAAGTCTTTAACCCCTTGACTGTCGCAACCCCAAATCCTGAGGTGTCAATTGGTGTTGCAAAATTTCCAAAAAAAAAAATTCTTATGAAATGATTGAGAATCTTTTCCTGATTGTAATGACACCAAAAGAACAAAATTTGATGAAAAACTGACGGAATTACGCTCTTGCGAAGTTAGCGACCTCGGCGATGTTTACGAATCGGCGATTTCGCCCACTTTGAGCGCTATTTTCGGCTAATTCCATTGTTCCAGTCGACTAAACTCATAGCTATTTCTTTAGAACTCCATTTTTTCTATCAACTGAGTACAAGAAACTGCCCATTTACCGATTTCAACTACCCAATAATGTGGTCAGAAATTTGCAATTTGGCCAATTTCACAAAAACTAAAAAATATGACAATTTCAAAATAGGGTCCAGAATGAACAAAGACATTCCTGGCTCTAAAATAACATTTACTCTGCTCATCAGTCACGTCTCCAGGCCCTTCTGACATTACTCTTGCTTTCTATTTTGAATTTTTATTCAAACAAAAAATAGAAGATTTACTGTTATGCAGACTACTGCAATATTGTAATTGTATAAATAATGTTAACCCATTCATGACTGCATATTAGAATGGCTACTTGGACATTTATTGGAAAATGACATCATTTGTTTACTTTTGAACATCGGCATAAATCAAACATTTCCCCTACTTTGAGCTCCATTTCAAGGTTCTTTTCATCGTAAAACCAATCAAAATCGCCTCTATTTCTATAATATGTTCTCCATTCGATCAAATGAGACCAATAAAATGAGAATACAACCATAAATACTATACGAAAATAGACCACAAATTCGGCATTTTAATTAAAAAAAAAACGGTTGGAGTTTTTTTTTTCTTATTATGCACTGCGTGCTGCAGGATTTTTTATATGGTGCACACTGACCACCCAGACTCATTCTCTCGCATGTGGGCCTACCAGCTTTCTCCTGCTTGATCTGAAGCCGCTGGAATTTATGAATGTATATGTCATGTGGGTTTCAATACGTGGATGGGTAAAAATACTCACGTAGGCTGGTAGTACGTATAATATATAACGGGAAGTATGGAAAGCGCCAACAGCCGACCTGTCTCTCTCTGCTGCCTAACTACGACTGACTCACAAGTGTCTACAGGGTGAGGGTGTTTGAAATCCTGCTATAGTCAGCAGCAATATGAATACAGTCAATGATTTACACAGACGGTTGGTAGTGAGTCATCTACTGGTACACTGGTTACTGGTAACTGGTTACTAGGAACTGGTACTACTACTGAGATATAAACGTCAAACACGGTGGCTCATAAGACTTATATATACAACCAAAACAGTCAAAGGGTTAAAAATGCCATCTGTCAATTGTCTTGAGAATCATGTTCCTGGTCTATAATTATCCCATTATTTCATTTATCCATATATTACTCTATAAATAAACCATACTAGTATTTGTGGTCTTTATTTATCCCACTTAGTGTGAGTATTCATATGTTTTTGCTGCAGTGTTAATGTTTGATTATGAGGTGCTGCCCTAGACCCCACCTTTGTTCTGAAATTCGAAAAATTCTGAAATTCGAAACACTGCTGGCCCCAAGGGTTTCGGATAAAGGGATACAGACTTGTACATGATACACATGCCTAGCTGAAATCAGTGACATACTGCTATATACAAAGTCCCATTATGCAGAGCATTTTGGGCAAATTAGGTCAATTTTGTCCCAGGATGCAACTCGCATCAGTCAACTAACGCCCAGGTATGTATTTTACCGACAGGCGAATACAGACATGGACGTCTTAATGTTCCAGCCGTACAAGGGATCGACCCCTGAACCCCAGTGTGTTAGCCGAATGCACTAGCAATCGAGCTATGGGACACCTGACCAATCACTGTGTAGTGAATTCTACTCAGGATTTGTCTCATCCACTCCCTGCAGTAGTACATTCATTACTGGCCAATCACATTACTGTACCACATTCACTTCAGCTCATTACAGCATCACATTAAATTTTAAGTTTCCATGAACTGTTGTCATGGTGATTTCACATTTAGTGAACCCCATGGTAATAATTATCAGCATGCTGCCTTCTGTGGGGTAAGGAAAGAGGCACGGTGGAAGAAGACATTAGCCAATCTAAAAAATAACAGAGACAATGAACTGCTTCATTACCAAAATTAGTGATTTTACTCCACAATTTTAAGCAACAAATTAAAAAAGTACAGTAAAAAGAAAAATTATTACAGTAGTTGTAAGGTGAAAAATAAAAAATTATGCCCGATTACAAAGCCACGTTATACCCACACTTGGTTTATCTTAGGGTGAACCCTATGATATTAAAAATCCAAACAAAAATTTATTTTTGTAACCTTTATCAAATAGTGCTTATCATACTGCACTGTGAACTAAATCTTTTAATTCTAGGTTGGAGGCTTATTTTTCAAACATACAAGGTATTTCTCAAGAAGTTCCAATACTACCATAAGAAATGCTCATAACATCAGGAGAAATGTCACAACAGCTACTGTACTGTACTAACCTGATGGATGCGATGAAGTCGAGGCTTTCAATCTGCTTTGGAATCTACCAATTAAAGGCTGAGATTCCAAAGTACTGGAGAAGCTTAATTCAGAATCTTGCGATTTAGACTCCACCTCGTGGTGTGTAGTATGTGGGGGTCCCCTTATATGTTCAATAATAAAACTATTCTCATTTTTTGAAAAGGTGTTAGAACACTTCTTGAAAAATCCATCTTCAATTTGGCACAGCTCAGCATCAAAAGATTCAGAAAGTCTGCCATTAGATAAATCAAAAGCATCATCATCAAATATGTCTGGGGAAGATCTACCAGGATGCTGTGGGCTCATGCATAGGCTTTTTTCTCCAGAACTGTTCAGCAAACTACTACTGGATACCCTTGCATTTTGACCAACACCATTGCTACTAAAACTACTTTCTGGCATAACACTACCTTTACTGGACTGTGTTTCATAAAGTCTTTTGCAACTATTAACATAAGTGTGTTTACTTGGATAAAAATTATTATAATGCATGACAGAATTACATTCTACCGTACTTACTTGACGATTTTTATAAATTCTTTCATTTTCTTTTCTTTCAGTTACAGTCAAAGTTTTCAGCAAGGCATTCCTCTGTGGTGTCTTGCGGAGATTATAGTCACGAGAACTATTAGTTAAATTTAATATTAGAGGTCTCTTGGTTCCTAATGTTGCTACTTTTCTCTTTGGAGTAGATTCCACTGAGCAAATAGTGTCTATTTTGTCAAAATCAATATTATCCAGAAAAGAGTCATCTTGATTTATAAACAAAGTTGGACTATCTGCCCGATTACTGCAAGAAGAAACAGTATGTTTACTCACTCTGCTTTTGTCCACTTGGAGTTTCTTCCATGGTGGGGAAGTCAGAGTGACAGATTTAGAGAATCTACTTATTCTATCAGACCTTAAGATTGGCGAGGTTTGCAAGACTTTAGCAACATTTTGGGAGATTTCCAGGGCCTGATTTATAACAGAAGCTGCAGGAGCTATGAGAGCTGTGGAATGCTTCAGATGTCTGAATCTGTTAGATGCTCCTCTTACATTATTTTTGGAACGACTCCCAAGAACCGGTGATGAAGAATTTTCCTCGTCAGATTCTTCAATTTTTGTAATTTGGTCCTCATGATCTAATTCTTTTATCTCTAAGGAATGAGAGGTTACAGAAGAAATTGGGTTTATTGTATCAACAGCAAGGCAAACTCTGGCAGCAAACTTAAGGCTTCTGATATGCTCACTATTCTTCTTTTTACTATCTGCACTGTATAAATTCTGCACATCTGCCATCACGGTAAGACTTGAAATAATGATTCCTCATGGCCCACAAATGCCTGGAATAAAACCATAAATCATCCTAACTTGTTTAAAATAGTACTATGGTGAAATAAAAAAAAATAAAAACTGGAAAATTTGACAATGTACAATATATAAATATATATAATGTATATATATATATATATATATATATATATATATAATATATATATATATATATATATATATATATATACAGTGGACCCCCGTATAACGATTACCTCCAAATGTGACCAATTATGTAAGTGTATTTATGTAAGTGCGTTTGTACGTGTATGTTTGGGGGTCTGAAATGGACTAATCTACTTCACAATATTTCTTATGGGAACAAATTCGGTCAGTACTGGCACCTGAACATACTTCTGGAGTGAAAAAATATTGTTAACCGGGGGTCCACTGTATATATTTATTGCATTTATGGATTTAGAAAAGGCATATGATAGAGTGGATAGAGGAGCAATGTGGCAGATGTTACAAGTATATGGAATAGGTGGAAAGTTACTAAATGCTGTAAAGAGTCTTTATGAGGATGGCGAGGCTCAGGTTAGGGTGTGTAGAAGAGAGGGAGACTACTTCCCGGTAAAAGTAGGTCTTAGGCAGGGATGTGTAATGTCACCATGGTTGTTTAATATATTTATAGATGGGGTTGTAAAGGAAGTAAATGCTAGGGTGTTCGGGAGAGGAGTGGGATTAAATTTTGGGGAATCAAATTCAAAATGGGAATTGACACAGTTACTTTATGCTGATGATACTGTGCTTATGGGAGATTCTAAAGAAAAATTGCAAAGGTTAGTGGATGAGTTTGGGAATGTGTGTAAAGGTAGAAAGTTGAAAGTGAACATAGAAAAGAGTAAGGTGATGAGGGTGTCAAATGATTTAGATAAAGAAAAATTGGATATCAAATTGGGGAGGAGGAGTATGGAAGAAGTGAATGTTTTCAGATACAGTACTTGGGAGTTGAAGTGTCGGTGGATGGATTTATGAAGGATGAGGTTAATCATAGAATTGATGAGGGAAAAAAGGCGAGTAGTGCGTTGAGGTATACGTGGAGTCAAAAAACGTTATCTATGGAGGCAAAGAAGGGAATGTATGAAAGTATAGTAGTACCAACACTCTTATATGGGTGTGAAGCTTGGGTGGTAAATGCAGCAGCGAGGAGACGGTTGGAGGCAGTGGAGATGTCCTGTTTAAGGGCAATGTGTGGAGTAAATATTATGCAGAAAATTCGGAGTGTGGAAATTAGGAAAAGGTGTGGAGTTAATAAAAGTATTAGTCAGAGGGCAGAAGAGGGGTTGTTGAGGTGGTTTGGTCATTTAGAATGGATCAAAGTAGAATGACATGGAAAGCATATACATGTAAATCTATAGGGGAAGGAAGGCGGGGCAGGGGTCATCCTCGAAAGGTTTGGAGAGAGGGGGTAAAGGAGGTTTTGTGGGCAAGGGGCTTGGACTTCCAGCAAGCGTGTGTGAGCATTTTAGATAGGAGTGAATGGAGACGAATGGTACTTGGGACCTGATGATCTGTTGGAGTGTGAGCAGGGTAATATTTAGTGAAGGGATTCAGGGAAACCGGTTATTTTCAAATAGTCGGACTTGAGTCCTGGAAATGGGAAGTACAATGCCTGCACTTTAAAGGAGGGGTTTGGGATATTGGCAGTTTGGAGGGATATGTTGTGTATCTTTATACGTGTATGCTTCTAAACTGTTGTATTCTGAGCACCTCTGCAAAAACAGTGATAATGTGCGAGTGTGGTGAAAGTGTTGAATGATGATGAAAGTATTTTCTTTTTGGGGATTTTCTTTCTTTTTTGGGTCACCCTGCCTCGGTGGGAGACGGCCGACTTGTTGAAAAATTATATATATATATATATATATATATATATATATATATATATATATATATATAATGTATATGTATATGTGTGTGTGGTGTGAATATAATGCAGAGAATTCGTAGTTTGGAAGTTAGGAGGAGGTGCGGGATTACCAAAACTGTTGTCCAGAGGGCTGAGGAAGGGTTGTTGAGGTGGTTCGGACATGTAGAGAGAATGGAGCGAAACAGAATGACTTCAAGAGTGTATCAGTCTGTAGTGGAAGGAAGGCGGGGTAGGGGTCGGCCTAGGAAGGGTTGGAGGGAGGGGGTAAAGGAGGTTTTGTGTGCGAGGGGCTTGGACTTCCAGCAGGCATGCGTGAGCGTGTTTGATAGGAGTGAATGGAGACAAATGGTTTTTAATACTTGACGTGCTGTTGGAGTGTGAGCAAAGTAACATTTATGAAGGGATTCAGGGAAACCGGCAGGCCGGACTTGAGTCCTGGAGATGGGAAGTACAGTGCCTGCACTCTGAAGGAGAGGAGTTAATGTTGCAGTTTAAAAACTGTAGTGTAAAGCACCCTTCTGGCAAGACAGTGATGGAGTGAGTGATGGTGAAAGTTTTTCTTTTTCGGGCCACCCTGCCTTGGTGGGAATCGGCCAGTGTGATAATAAAAAAAAAAAAAATAAATAAATAAATAAATAAATAAATAAATAAATAAATAAATAAATAAATAAATAAATAAATAAATAAATAAATAAATAAATAAATAAATAAATATAAAATGGGAAGATTTTTATTTAAATGACTTGTGTATCTTAATCTAAGAGAACACAACTTGACAAAGCCTCAGAAAATTATAATTTGGTATTCAGTATTTGGTGTCAAACTATAAAAGTGAAATACCAAATAAGGGGAGTTAGTAGATGGGGAGCTGGAGGTACATATTTGGTAGATGGCGGGAATATTCTGAAGAACTTTTAAATGTAAATGAAGAAAGGGAGGCGGTAATTTCATGCACTGGTCAGGGAGGTATACCATCTTTTAGGAATGAAGAAGAGCTGGACGTGAGTGTGGGGGAGGTGTGCAAGGCATTACATAGAATGAAAGGGGGTAAAGCAGCAGGAACTGACGGGATCATGACAGAAATGTTAAAAGCAAGGGGGGATATTGTGGAGTGGTTGGTATTTTTGTTTAACCCTTTGAGGGTCGACAGGCCCTCTCCGAAACTCGTTCTCAGGGTCGGCCAAATTTAAAAAAAAAAAATTATTTTCTCTTATGAAAAGATAGAGAATCTTTTCCCGATCATAAAGACACCAAAAGTTTGAAATTTGATAAAAAACTTACGGAATTATGCTCTCGCAAAGTTAGCGGTCTCGGCGATGTTTACGCATCGGCGATTTTGCCCATTTTGAGCCCCATTTTCGGCCAATTTCACTGTACTAGTCGACAAAAAACATGAATATTTCGCTAGAACTCCATTTTTTCTATCGAATGGGTGCAAGAAACCACTCATTTATGAAATTCAACTATCCAGTACAGTGGTCAGAATTTAGCAATTTTGCCAATTTCACACAAATTTCAAAAGATGCCAATTTCCGAATAGGGTCCAGAATAAACAAGAAAGACATTCCTGGCACTAAAATGACATTTCCTCTAGTCATTAGTCATGTCTCAAGGCCTCTCTTATATTCTTTTGCTTTCCACTTTGAATTTTTATTTTCACAAAAAATATAAGATTTACTGTTATGCAGACTACTGCATTAGTGTAAAAAATGGTATAAATATTATTGGTGTACTTGTGAAAGAATATTAGACTCACCAGTTGACGTGTATTGCACGCTTGGCACGATTTGTTTACTTTTGAAGTTTGGTAAAAATCGAACATTTCTGCTACTTTGAGCTCAATTTCAAGGCACCTTTCTTTGTAAAACCAGTCAAAATCATCTCAATTTCTGTAATATGTCTTCCATTCTATAAAATGAGACCAAGAAAACTAGAATACAACAATAAATACCATACGAAAATACACTGCAAAGTTGCTGATTTATTAAAAAAAAATGGTCAAAGTTTTTTTTTTCTCATTATGCACTGTGTGCTGCAGGATTTTTTTTAGACTGCACACTGACCACATAGACCCATTCTTTCATATGAAGGCCTACCAGCTTTCTCCCACTAGATTTGAGGCCGCTAGAATTTATGAGTACTAGTACGTCAAAAACCCCTACGCGTAAGACGTACTAGTACGACGAAAACCCTCAAAGGGTTAAGAAATGTATGAAAGAGGGGAAGGTACCTAGGGACTGGCAGTCACAATGAATAGTTCTTTTATATAAAGGAAAGGGAGACAAAAGTGATTGTAAAAATTATAGGAGAATAAGTTTACTGGGTATACCAGTAAAGTGTATGGTAAGGTTATTATTGAAAGAATTAGAGGTAAGACAGAGAGTAGGATTGCAGATGAGCAAAGAGGCTTTAGAGTGAGTAGGGGATGTGTAGATGAAGTGTTTACATTGAAGCATATACATGTATGTGATAAAGGTAGAGAAGTTTTCATTGCATTTATGGACTTAGAAAAAGCATATGATAGTGGATAGGGAAGCAATGTGGCAGATGTTGCAAGTGTATGGAATAGGTAGTAAATTACTAAATGCTGTAAAGTTTTTATGAAGATAGCAAGGCTCAGGTTCGAGTGTGTACGAGAGAGGGAGATTACTTCCCGGTAAAAGTAGATCTTAGACAGGGATGTGTAATGTCACCATGGTTGCTTAATATATTTATAGATGGGGTTGTAAAAGAAGTAAATGCTAGGGTGTTGGGGAGAAGAATGGGATTAAATTATGGAGAATCAAGTACAAAATGGGAGTTGACACAGTTACTTTTTGCTGATGGTACTGTGCTTATGGGAGCTTCTAAAGAAAAGTTGCAAAGGTTAGTGGATGAGTTTGGGAGGGTATGTAAAGGTAGAAAGTTTAAAGTGAGTGAACATAGATAAGAGTAAGGTGATGAGGGTATCAAATGATTTAGATAAAGAAAAACTGGATATCACGTTGGAGAGAGGGAGTAAGGAAGAAGTGAATGTTTTCAGACATTTGGGAGTTGACTTGTCAGCAGATGGGTTTATGAAGAATGAGGTTAACCATAGAATTGATGAAGAAAAAAAGGCGAGTGGTGCGTTGAGGTATCTGAAGACAAATAACAAATATG